AAGCACCTCAAAGTTCTATCTCTGAACTGTTCAACATTTCACAGTCAAACATTTCACCCAGGTGATTTCTTCAGCTCTAAACCTTAGATTCAGAGTCAAGAACGAAGCCGATGCAGCTCTGGCCAGTGCCACCATAAAGGGACAGAGGAAAGGTCATCTCTGAATTTTCTGTTGGAATTCAGCATCGCTTATGTTATTCCTTGCATCAGTAAAGTAGATTCACATTGCTTTAAGCAAAGCAGATGTAAAAATATCCTTTAATGATTATGAAAAGCAACAAACTTCCATCACTGTGATTTCTCTTAGTGAACCGTTACCCAAAATTGTTCTGCTTAATAAACACAGAGTGGCTAGGGGTGCCTGGGGGCTCAGGCGGTTAAGCGTCTGACTCTTGATTTCAGCTCAGGTCATGATCTCACGGTTCATGAGTTTGAACCCCACATGGGGCTCTGTGCTGACGACACAGAGCCTGCTTGCCATTTGGTCTCTCTCTCTCTCTCTCTCTCTCTCTCTGTCCCTCCCCTGTTTGCTCTCTCTCTCTCAAAACAAATTAAAAAAAATAAATAAACAGAGTGGCTGGCATTGTGCTCAGTGTCAGGAGTGGTAATAAAAAAGCATCTGACACTTTCCTGCCTTTAAGAGGGTTATGATATAGATGAGAAGGCAAGCCTCTTAGATCCAACAATTAGGAACCAATACAAGGAAGAATTGTTTTTAAAAGCCAGATTGTGTAGCGTAATAAACACTTTATGAAGCTCTAAAGGCTCACCACAATCATTTTTTCACAAGAGTGGCCCCAGGCTGTTCCTTCTGCATAAAGTTGCTGGCTTACAAAGCAAGAGAATACATTTGAAATCAACCCTATTTCCCTGGTCACAAATCAATGAACCATGACTCATGAGGCAGGCCATCTACATAAGATTCTACATAAGAGATGATATATGCATGTATATATACACACACACACACACACACACACACAGACACACACACAGAGTCAGATATTCTTTCTATCCAGAAAGTCTGAATGAGCAAATGTGTGAAAAAGAATGCCGTGGCATCACTGGAACGGCCACCAAATCGGGAATGACGACAAGCCACTATTCTAATCTCTGGGAGGACCAGTACACATTCCAGGCTATGAAGCACGAGCCCAGGGGGACTATTTGGCTGTTGAGCCAGGTTCCTGCACCTCTTCAATGCTCATGTATCTTCCAGGAAGACCCTATTATTTAAGGTTATCCTAACAATCCATGCCATATACATGATACCACTAACAAATTTTTTATAAGAGACCAAGAAGGGATAAAATACCCAAATAGGGGACTATATCTAAGAATACATAAAACACTCAGAAAGGGTTATTGTATCTAGAACACATAAAGTATTCAGAAGGAGGGGGAGAAACATCTCTGAGGCAGGCACACAGCTACAACTCACATTCTCCTTATGTGTGTTACGTTATGTATGTATCTGAAATAGATGAAAAGACAGCGTTAAATGTATGACTTTGTCTTGAGGGACAGGCAGTGAAAACAGAAAATATAAAATAAATAGTGTTCCAAAAAGCAGGCATCCATTTCATTTGAAAAGGAAATCTCAAACAAGAATGAAAAGAATATGGTTGGGGCACCTGGGTGGCTGAGTCAGTTAAGCATCTGACTTCAGCTCAGGTCATGATGTTGAGGTTGGTGGGTTCGAGCCCCGTGTCGGGCTCTGTGCTGACAGCTCGGAACCTGGAGCCTGCTTCAGATTCTGTGTCTCCCTCTCTGTCTGCTCCTCCCCCACTCACGCTCTGTCTCTCTCTCCCTCAAAAATAAATAAACATTAAAAAAAATTTTAAGAATGAAGATAATACGGTGAGCTGACATTCACAGCCATCTGAATCAGAACGAGGCTGTTCTTAACGGGAAATTGCCCCCAGGAAGATCACGAATGACTCTCTCCTGTTATTAAGAGATAACAGAGCAGCATCTAGAATAGTATTGCAATGTTTAGTGGAATTATAGATAAGGTAAATATCATTTTCCTGCCTTTTTTCCCAATGTTCTCTTTCCTCCCCTCTTTACAGTCACTTTCTTATCCCACCTTGCACGAGCCTTGCTGAGCTATTTGTCCCTGTCCCATGTTTTTGACATCATTTTAGTCTATTCTTTCATTTACTCCCTCCCTCCCTAAACAGACTATCCTATGAAAGCACAGAGAAAAAAAAAAAAAAAAAAAAAAAAAAAAAAAAAAAAAATCAACATTAAATTTAACTAGATTTTTTTTTATTAATGTATCAGACCACACTCAAAGTGACTTGAAAGTCTGAGAAAAAGTTATTTCCCACCACTGCAGCTCCAAACCGTAGTCAAAGAAAGGAGGAAAAGACAAAATACTTAGAAGAAAACAGGTTATGAACACCTGGAACTAAATAAAGGGAGCAGAGGGAGTCACTAAGTTGGAGGCAAAAACTTAAAGCAAAGTCAAAAGAACAGGAAAAGGTTTGAGCCTCTGACAGGATTATTGGGATCATAAGCATTCTTTCCTGCTGGCCTGTAGCAGGAAGTCAGCAGTTATCCAAGAGTGAGTCTGCTCTGGAGAAAATTATTTCAGCAGCTCAACTGCAACGTGATTAAAGAGCATAGGAGTGTGGGGAGTGAGGAGTACGAGGCTGAGACAAGGTAGGTTTATTAAATAATGGTATCCTAAATGGTCAACGGCTATGTCTACCTTTTTAGATAATCAAATATTTCATCAAATACATATCCAATTATAAAATGAAACAATATGGCTTCTGTTATGTCTCATTTACACTAAGCCAAACCTTGAAGCTTTAGAATCTCTGTATTTCTTAAATTCCGATGCAATCATATAGTATCAATTAAGATAATTTCTGTCAATGAGAAAAAGCCTACATCCTTCTGCACACGAAATGATGCTCCTCACCTTTTTGATGAAACTGTTAGAATATTTTACATTGACAAATGGAAGCAGAAACCAAGCATGAGGTCATTACTTCTTTCATTTTAGCAAGAACAAAAAGAACCATCCAGCATTTAGGAACCAAATATTCTTGTCCCATGACACAGTTTATAGCTATCATGATCAAATTAACTTCCTTATCACCACTGTTAAAACAAGAAAAAATGAAAAAGGATGTTGTCTCTAACTACTGTTACCTAATGAAGTTCAGGTTTATCCTTACTGTTACTTGACATAAAACACCAAGATGTGATAAATCAGTAATTAGGAAATAAAAAATCCAAACAGAATGTGACAGATAGTCTCAACAGTTTTCCAGAACATGAGAAAGACTGTTTATTCCAGAACATCAAAAGGTTGGGGGCAGCGAGAGGAAATCAGTAATTCTCCAAAGGCACTTTCTACAGCAAACTAAAGAGAGCTCTTACAAACGCAAGAAATATAATGTGTATATTTAAAATAGAAACACCATTCATCTTCCTTTGTAGATATAATCCCTTTAAAGCTAGAATTATTGTTCTCTTCCCTAGAAAAACGTTACAAACCATGATTTCAACCCATGGCTTGACCACTGCTACTTCTAATATGTATTAAATATACTGTTTTAGTCAAATAATAGAGAAGTTATCTGAAACCTAAGAAAAAGTAGACAGCTATTCGAGTGTTAAAACACTCTTCTGTGGTAGCTTCCATAAACGTATACTTGAACATGTTCACTTTAACACCCATCAAGTCTCTCCATAGTGCTCCCACATCTCACGTCTAAAGTTTAGCTTTTTCTTCCCACTTTTAACATGACGGTGTCTGACGCTAAGGCAAAGACTTACTTCTCAGCAACCAATACAGTTGGAACCTTGCTGAAACCCTGTTCTCAGCTGCCCCCTTGCTGCTGGAAATGAACTTTGAGGCTGGTGCAGTATAGAAATACACCAATTACATCTGAGAGAATAAGCCGGGCACAAGGAACTTTGTGAAAGGGCAGAAATCATGAGATGCCATTGGTGAAGTATACCAAATCTCCCAGTGTATTTGATTATCAGCTAAAAATACATGAAATTTCTTATTTCTCTAATCTTCAAGTGTCAATGTTCTCAGATTCTAAACTTCCAAGCTACTAGATATTCATGCCTTAGGAAAAGAATTAACTGACAATTTTAGATAGTGGTGACCATAACCAGAGAATGAATTGTTTGCTCTCCTGTTGGCACAGGTTTATTTCTAACAGTGCCCCCTCAACATTCTTTAAAAAGGAAGGAAGGAAGGAAGGAAGGAAGGAAGGAAGGAAGGAAGGAAGGGAGGGAGGGAGGGAGGCCGGCCTAGGCTACAAACCACCCAGGAGTTCTAAGTCATTCATGTGTTCCTGGTTTCACACACAGCACTGTTAACAGAGATTCACATGGCAACTCCGTGAAAAATGTATTTTCATTTTATAGGAAAAGAAGATAGAAAGCATACAGCCACGCATCTTATTTCCGTTTAGTCTAACATTCGTAACATCCAAGAGTACTCGTACACCCATTTCCTTTTGCATCGACTAACACGTTCTTCACCAACAGAAATAAATGTCTGATGGGGAGGGAAAAGAAGAATAGGAAGTCTTAGGGACATAAATCCAAACATTCCACATCAATATTACTGATCCGCCCACGGTTCACCTTAATCCCACATTTGGGAAGTCTGTTTCTCAATTACCAAACAGAACTACCACCACAAAGCCTAAACAGATTTTTGTTTTTTAACATTCTTACTTATTTTGTTAATAATCAAACCATGGAATGACAAAGAATAAAAATCAACAAGCGGTTTATATTTTCTAAACTTGCGGCCTGACATCAATCCATGTTCGTCTTCGCAATGCTGAACAGCTCAGAAACAAGCACGTGTGACAGAACTGAGATAGACTGTTCCAGTCATAATTTCTTTAAACGGCTTTCTATCTCTCACATCTTTTTACCTCCTATGGTACTCAGCTCATGGCCTGTACATAACAGGTACTCAAAAATATCTTCTTTCTTCTTTCAGAGTGAACTTACCCTTCGAAATGACACGACATAGAACGTATCTCCCCGTCTGCGGATGGCTTCAAAGAAGTCTTGATAACTTCTGGGTGATGCATAATACACTTGCAGCTCACTCCCTGAGTTCCTGCTGAAGGAAGAACAGGGCAAAGTGTTCTTAAACCAGAAAATGTCATCTCCTCTCAAAAATACTCCCCGTGCTAAGGCTACGTCTGAATTATAAGAATTACTCTCAACCAAAATAGTAGCAGCATTCGGCAGTAATTATTATAATAACGTTCTGAGAAGCCCAAGGTCAGGATATTTATAAGATCCAATTCACTAAAGCAAAAACTCTCATTTCTGAATGGAAAGCTCTAAAAAAGCACCACTCAAGTTCACTGCAGAGCATGTAAAAATAATAAAGAGTATCAGAAAATAGATTTCTGCATTGGTTTGCATGATTTAAAATTTTTGGTAACAGACATTAAGTCTTAGGGAAGTTATTTTTCACCGCTCTGTCAAATCTGTAAGGCGTACTTGTCTATAAGGCTGTGTGAAAAGTGGGAAGAAGGTAGGATTTGGAAACAAACAGACCTGGCTTTGAATTTCGTCTCCACTCCTCAAGTGGGTATTCTTAGGGAAATCAACCCCCGAGCAACCTCGGTTTCCTCATCCATAAAATGAGGATAACCATGTAAACCTGCAGGATTGTTACTGGTCAGAGACGTTACATATGTGAAGCACCGAGTAAGGCCTCATAGGAGTCACTCAACAAATGCCAGCCACAGATACAGGAAGTACCACGTCAGAGCCTTCGTAACATTAGTAACTAAAATTATAGTACCTCAACCACATCGTAGCTCCAAAAGACACACTCAAATGATATTAGTGTAGTTTTTAATATTTCCAGTCTTTTATTATTTAGCGCAATAAGCCAAAACCCAGAAGTTAAAGGAGAATTTTTTAAAATGTTGCCTTTTTCTCCAGACAACCTGTGTTTTCTTTCTTATAGGTTCTTCTACATTTTCTATCCAACTTTATGAGGAAAAAAAAGACTGATCTAAAAGGAAAATTATAAATGAATCATAAGAACTTTCTTTGAAATAATTCCATTTGCTCATGAAGCCACTTCTAACCATATTATTTTGACATACAATCAATTCTGATTCATCATGATAGTTATGTTCTACAAAGTCGGTGTGAACACTGAATTAGTAAATACTGAACCATTCTCCTAAGGGAAATACCGTGTTAGGTTCCTTATAAGCCCCTACCTATGGCATATTTGTCAACAGATTAATATATAACCTTGTTTTTATGTTTCTGTTTAAAGACACCTTCTTCAACATATCTCGTTCATTCATTAACACTGAACTCCTGGTCAACAGCACTGTAACTTATGCCTGAATGAAGCTTATCTAATATGTATATTTTTCCATATGGCACAACACAGCCTTTGTTTTTTTTTTTTAAGTTTATTTATTTACTTTTAAGAGCGAGAGAGAGAGAGAGCAAGAGCAGGGGAGGGGCAGAGTGAGAGTGAGAGTGAAAGAGAGAGAAAGAGAGAGAATCCCAAGCAGGCTCTGCACTGCCAGTGCAGAGCCCAACGTGGGGCTGGAACCCACAAACCGTGAGATCATGACCTGAGCCGAAATCCAGAGTCAGACGCTTAACTGACTGAGCGCACCCACTGCGCGCCTTGGCACAACACAGCTTTCTTGAACAATAGGTAGCCCTTTGGGACTGTGCTTCAGGGCCATTTTAGACAGTGAAATCACACACACACCCAAAAAGCATAAAAATGTGAAAAGTATGGCATTAAACAGACTTCAAAAAGAAACCTGTTTACAGTAGGAACTGAAGCAGGAAGGCGCAGTGTGGCCTTGTTAACTGAGCCTCACCTAGGACCATCTATGCACACTTGCAAATGGCTGTAAAGGCATCTTGAGCATTGGGGAGCCTGGGTGGCTCAGTCGGTTGAGCATCTGACTTCGGCTCAGGTCATGATCTCGCGGTTTGTGAGTTCGAGCCCTGTGATGGGCTCTGTGCTAACAGCTCGGAGCCTGGAGCCTGCTTTGGATTCTGTGTCTCCTTCTCTCTCTGCCCATCCCCCGCTTGTGCTCGGTCTCTCTCTGTCTCTCAAAAATAAATAAATAAATGTAAAAAAAATTTTTTTTAAAAGCATCTTGAGTATTGATTTGGGGGCACAAATACATTTTAGTGAGTAGGCTGACTGACTCACTGATACAGAATACATGATTAATTCATTTAAACCACTTTTTTAAAGACTTTTTTTTAAAGCAGTTTTGGATTCACCCCAAACCTGAGGGGAAGATACAGAAATTAATATTTTTGACTAGTAACGAAATAATATGCCATCATAATGATGCATCAAAAAATGAACGTATTTTTAAATATATATATAGTAAATGAACGAAACATTCTGATCACTAGGAGAACTATTAGTCACTATACCTATTTGAATTATCTATTTCTACATGATAACACCGTATCTCCCGATTTGAAACATTCGTGATTGCCAATATACTGCTCACTGCCATTTAATAGAAACTCTCAGTTAACAGGGTAATAAGCAGCTTTCCACTTACACTGGGCATATGTTCTCAGGGCCAGGTACCCGGTCTGACACACGGCTGGCGCTCAGTAAATGTGAAATTAATAGTAAATAAATTGTGAACTCTATGTCTGTGGGAAAGCTACACACAGAATCTGAGACCCTCTACTTCCATTTCAGTGGCACTGTCATCAATATATCACATCAGCACCATCACCAGCTTTCAAACGTGCCAAGGACCATGCAAAGTGTTTCAAATAAATTATGCGATTTGATCATCCACTCTGTGTGGCCAAAACTGTGTAGATGAGGAAACTTTAAGTTCACCTGTTTGATCCACAGAGCAAGTGAGTGGCAGAGATGTTCTGAACTCTGTCCAATTCAAAAGCCAACAACTCAATCATAATACTATATTGCCTCCGGTAATATTGTTCCTTTTAGTTAGATGTGTTTGGTCCAAACATTTCGACCTTAGATACAGCACTCCTTCCAGATTCCTTCAAAAGCTTAAGTAGCATCAGTGTAGTGAAAAATGAATTTTAAGTCAAACTGACTTGAGTGCCAATTCTGCCTCTTGTTGGTTCTATGACTCTGGCTTAGAAAAACTAAGTGACTTGCCCAGTTTTTCTCCATATAAAATAAGGACTGTGATATCTACACTCTAAGTTATTATACAGATTTTAAAATAAAATGCATGGAAAGCACTCAGCAAGACACCTGGCACATTCATAAAATAACACTCCCTACCCCTGGCTCATGAAATAGATGCAAATTGAGGACGAGAGTTATGGATGTTTACATTGTACAGCAAAATGACGACTGAACAGCATTCTGACTAAATCTGTATTTAAGGAATCTGAGAGTTACCCTCTTGAAATTCTCTGGGTTTACTCTGACCACTCAGAAGCAGTTTGTTCTGTGAACTAACAGAAAAGTCACTGATGAGACCAAGCGTAATTAAGACAGAAGAGAAATGTGCCTCTCAACTTTACTAAAATATTAGTTATTTAAAATTCCTTGGCCAAGAACTTCCACACTTTCTTACCTGATCCTAGTGGTTTCTGTGTATTGGACAGCCATGAGCTGAGAATTTGAGCCCTGTTCCAGAGCACCCTGGAAGAAAAAAAAAGACTTAATGCCATATAATGAAATTAGATGAAGATCTTCCTATATTGACTCACTCTACATTTACTAAACTCTCATTAAAGTATTCATATACCAGGGCACCTGGGTGACTCAATCAGTTAAGCGTCCGACTTCAGCTCAGGTCATGGTCTTGTGGTTCATGAGTTTGAGCCCCACGTCAGGCTCTGTACTGACAGCTCGGAGCCTGGAGCCTGCTTCGGATTCTGTGTTTCCCTCTCTCTCTGCCCCTCCCCTGCTCACATTCTGTCTCTCTCTCAAAAATAAGTAAACGTTAAAAAAAAAAAATTAAAGTATTCATATGCCTTTTTTTCATGAGTATTCTGAGAGATCAGGTTCACATAACTAAATACCAACAGAGAGATTAGAACTCTTCTGGTCACGCTCTGGGCTGAGAGAAGAATCTTAAGGAGATTAAAACGTTAAGGCATTTTCCCATAAAGTTTAAAAATACAGTCCAAAAGCTTAGTTCAACTACCATAAGTTTTATGACCAAGTCGTACAAATATTACTGAACATATAACAACTTGTGTGTCTAAAGTAATTATTTTTCCAAGGCAAGTTCCTGAAGTGTGAAAGGTTCATAATGAAACTGGATCCTACTGTTTACTGAATGAAACACAAAGATCTTCTTGCCAAAATGTACCTATGGGCTAAGCCATCATTAAAGAGATTTCGGCGATGACTTTTCAGGCCAGAGAACAGTCCAATATGGAACGATGAGTGGCCCACATATGCTCTACTGGGGACCTGTCTTCTTTCAGCATCTGCTTGGCACGGAGCCTTCTTCTATTCCTTGCCGGTTTTATAGACTCATCTTCTGAAGTCTTTTTTAAGGGGATCAGAGTTCAAGGGCACGTTACCAATTATTATCTTAGGAAGTGACCTTATTATTACCCTGTCAAAAGCGGCTTAAGGAACTTTTTACTCAGAAGACTATTAGCATTTGTTCATTACTGTATCCATCCATCCATCCTGCAGTAATCAACTTTTATAGAGCACTTAGGACAGGCACTGACTGGGAAGACAGACATGTGGAAACAATACAATGTGATAAATGCTAAAATAGAAGAACATACAAGGAGTTAAAGGGGAAAAAACAAAGAGGGAACAATTTTGTTTAGTGGATGGAACCAATATGCAGGCCTGAATACTGGTCTAATTTCTGAGAGTAAAATGCCAAGGGTCTAATTTTATGAAAATCTATTGTAGGGGTTACATATAACAGGTGTTCAATAAATGCTTATTTACTTATTTATTTTTTAATGTTTACTTTTGAGAGAGAGAACTCTTATCTCATGGGCTCATGAGTTCCAGCCCTGCGTCAGGCTCTGCACTGGAAGTGCTTGGGATTCTCTCCCTCCCTCTCTCTCTGCCCCTTCCCTGCTTGTGCTCTCTCTCTCTCAAAATAAATAAACTGAAAATATAAATTTGACATACCCCTCAATAAATGCTTATTTTTTTTTAACGTTTATTCATTTGGGGGGGGGGGGCAGAGAGAGAGAGAGAGAGAGAGGTGGAGACAAAGGATCCGAAGCAGGCTCCAGGCTCTGAGCTGTCAGCACAGAGCCCGACGCGGGGCTCAAACTCATGAACCACAAGATCATGACCTGAGCCGAAGTCAGATGGTTAACCGACTGAGCCACCCAGGTGCCCCTCAATAAATGCTTATCTAAACAAAATTTTTAAAATATCAACAAAATGAAAGGTGCCTGGGTAGCTCAGTCGGTTGGGCGACTAACTCTTGATCTTGGCTCAGATCATGATCTCGAGGTTCCTAAGATCCAGCCCTGAGGTGGGCTCTCCACCGACAGCATGGAGCCTGCTTGGGATTCATTCTCATTCTCTCTCTCATTCTTGTTCTCATTCTCTCTCTCTCTCTCTCTCTCTCTCTCTCTCTGTCACT